GAACCTGCGCCCGGAGCTGCGGAATAAGGAGGCTGAGCCGCGCCAAAGCCGTCCGAGAAGCCCCAGAGCGCCAGAGGGTCGGAGCAGGCCACCTGCTCCAGCTGTACGCACGTGGGCAGAGGCCCGGGGTCTGCAGGGACAGAAATAGGTGCAGTGCACAGGAGCCTCCTTCCCCGGGAGGCCGTGGCTGGGTGTGGGCAGGCCACTCGGCCACTCGGCCGCATCATAGCCCAAGCCCTGCAGGTGAAAGGGGAAGGCGCCAAGGTCCACTCTGCTGCCAGTGCTGCGGAAAGCGCGCGCTCCAGCCACCCGGGACAGTCGTAGGGATCTAGGAAGTCCCTGAGGAGAGAACCAAAAGGTGACCCGGACCCGAGGCCGGGCAGCCAGAATGTCCCTCCTGGCTTTCAGTGCACCCAGAACGCCTTGCTAAGGGGGACAGCACCCGCCTCCACGAGGGACAGGCCCGGGACTGGAGGGAGCAGCCTCCAAAGCCCTGTGCGAGGTTTGCCAGACACAGCCGAAATTATTAAGCCAATTAAGATCGAACAAACAGAAACAGGACGGAGTGGGCGCTGACCCCGAGAGAAAGGGTGTCTTGCTTGGAATGTAGTTGTTTGTGCCAGCGACGCGCCAACAGCCAGAGAGCCAGGATGGTCCTGCGAGGCAAACCCAGGCTTGAGAAGGCCTGGAGGGCTCCCACCCCATTAGCTGAACAGGTGCCGGCGAAAGAAACCACCCTGGGTGCTGAAGACTGGGAGGCGAAGTCTGGTTGCTGCAAGCATGCTGAGTCTCGAAAATTCTAGCTTAGGTTGGGGCTGGAGAAGGCCCCAGTTCAGGTGGCCCCAGCTGCTCCAAGGGTACCCTCAGCCTCTGCAGGGAGTTGGAGGAGGAGATTGCTTGAGGCCCAGGACCCATCTAAGAGAGCCTTGCCTCGGAAAGTAGAAGTCTGGCTGCGCGTTTTCAAAGCACCCTCACTTCTCCAAAGGGGTGGGAGCGCCTGGCTCCCCCGGGAGCGAGGGCAGGGTGTCGCTGGGTCATGTGGCTGTTCCTGTGGTCCCCCACAAAGACCTCTGCCCTGGTCGATGGGTGCGAGGTGCAGGCAGCCCCCAAAGCATCCCAGCACAGGGCTGGGGGCGCAGGTCCGCTGTGCTCCCGAGCGCAATTATTTGATCTGCAGATGTAAGTGGAATTTATTGTAACAACAAATATAGTGATGTCAAAACCCAACCTTGGATTAAAGCCGGCAGCCAAAGGGGAAGTGTATTAATTTCCAACAGCATCTCAGGCCAGAGCCTATTAGAACAAGCTATTCTTCAGGCCCCCCCATCAGAATTAATCATTGGGAGTTAATTTGAAGCTCAGACAAGTTGCTGTTAATTTAGTGCAGGGAGGACGGGATGGAATAAAAAGCTGAGGTGCTGGCCGAGCCTCGTGGGTCTCATTAATCAGCCAGCTGAGACGGCCTGGCTTGATTACAATTTGCAAAAAAATTCATTAGGGCCCGGGCGATTGACAATTTTTCTCTCTGCCTGTGATGTGACTCATTAGGCAGCCAAATGAAAGCCATGATGACGGCCGTGATGACAGCGGCCATCAAGCGCCCTTGTTTATCTTCCTCCCCTTGGCCTGTCTCCCGGGCTTCGGCCTCCGCGCCGGCTCTCGGGGGGCGCCCCGGCCTTCAGGGGTTGTGGAGGGAGGGGACAGCGACCCGAGAGAGCAGGAAGGCCAGCGGCCGGCCCTCTCCTCCTCCTGCTTCCAAAGAGCGAGCACGCGCGGCCGGGGAGGGCCGGGGAGCTTGGCCTCTGGCGTGGGGCTCCCCTAAGGCAGCCTCCATGCCGAGGGAGCTTCCCTTCCCCGCGGGGTTTGCATAGCCAAGGCTTCGGGTCCCTCTGTGCCCCCCGTTCCTACCATGGGCTTTTGGAGAAGGCGAGTAAGGGTTACACCTGCTATGGTGGAAGGGCATACGGGGGTCACTCCAGGATGTGCAGGGAGGGCCGGGCTCTCAATGCCCGGGTGCCAGTGAAGAGAGAGGCCACAGCTTTCCAAAGTCCTCGGGCTCGACTCCGAGCCACCAGCCACAGTCCTGCCGGGGGCGCACCTGGCCCGGGTGCAGACTGGCCCAGCTGTGTGTGGCAGTGGGGGGATGACTTCCCTGCGGGCCTCGAGTGCCGCGACAGCCCCGCGTGGCTTGTGGGGTCCTGCCCCGAGCAGATGGAGCCCACAGGCGGCCAGCCCTCTGCGCCCACAGGCCGGCGGGATTGGGGACCACCCGGCCTTGCAGAGCGGGCGCCGGGGCAGGGCGCGACCCGACACAGTCCCCACGCAGGCTTTGGGGCGCTGGATGGGGGACGGTAAAGAGCCGCTGGAGCGCTCCGCGCCGGGCAGAGCCGGCTGAGGCCCTCGGCGGACGGGCTGCTCCGTTTCATTGTGCTCCAAAGCCAAGCCTGGGCCATTTTCCGCCCCTGGAAATGTTCGGAAGGCGGCGGGAAACGGCGACTGTCGCTCCCGGCCGCCGCCCCGCACCTGAAGTTTAGGCGGAGGCCTCGGTCCCCAGGCCCCTCCGTCGCGGGGAGGTGACGGGTTGTGAGCCGTGTAAATTGTCAGTATCGACCCGCGGCGACGCGTCGCCCCTTCTTCGACGAGAACCGTGGCGGGGCCGCGCGCGGCGGCGGTGGCGGCTGCTGGGCCAAGCCGGGGGGGGGGTG